AATGATGGGACTAATAACAGCTCTGATATTGACTGTGCGCTTATTATGTGCCAGGCCCAGAGCTAAATGATTTACATAATTATCTCATTTAGTGATCACAATAACCCTGTATTATCTCATTTGATAGATAAAAAAACTGAGGTTCAGAGAGGTTGAGTAACTTGCCCAAGGCCACCTAGCTAGCAAGTGATAGAGCAAGAATTTTAACCATATTTTTCTGATTGCAAAGCCCATGCTTTTCAACACCACACATGCCTAACAGGGGACTCCTTGTCACTCTGTTGTTTGATTCAGATTGCCTTGAGTGCTCTTCACGGTGGAATCTGTGGGGTCCTCATTTCTTGGTGAGTAGGAAAACCTCCTGCCGATAAGAAAGCAAATATTACCCTCTCTGGCCAACATGTTCAGCTTGGCTTCCTCTGACCTCAGATGAGGGATGAGAACACTCAAAGCTCTGTGTGTTCCTCCCCACCGCCTTTCTTACACCTACACACACTTCATTGCTCCACAGCTTCTCTCTGCTGCCTGTTTCCCTGGGGACGCCTAAGCAGACAGAGGGTTCTCATTAGAGAATCAGGGGTCCCTGGGGCTGCAGGTCTGCTATCTCTTGATAGAGTTGGTAGGAAAATGGAGCCACAGATCAGCAAAAGGCGCCGAGGAGAGAATCCAGGCAGAAGACAACTCCCATGGCTCACATGCCCCATCTGGACCCCTTTACAGCCTCCCTCCCCTTTCCCCAATCAGAATCCTTGTTGTGGGGCTCCCAAGCCCTTGAGCTAAGCCCCACCCCTCTCCCAGCATCCTAAAGTTTGAGGGCTGCATTCAAGTCAGATACTTCCTAGTAGGGGTGGGTAGGATGGACTTCTTCTGAGGGCAACTTGCCCTGAAAGAATGGGGAAAGGTGGCAGCAGCCACCGCTGTCACTGAGGACATCTGTGTAGCTCCCCGGGAGACCCTCTGCCCTCCCCCCCCCCCCCCAACCAGCCCAGCTGAGCAGGGACCAAGCTTGCTTATTATCACCTGACTCTGTGCAGCCACTGATCCCATTGGTGGAGCCAGATTTGGTCTGTCTCTCCCGTTCGTTCTCGCCTTCCTCTGCCTCTCTCTCCTCCGCGCTGCTTTGATTTCTCTCTTGCCTCTCTCCTTGCGCTGGGCTGGGGAACATTGTCTCACCAGGGGCAGCAGTGGTGTGCTGCAGAGCCAGACAGGAGCTGCCTGTGGGGCATGGAAGAAGCCTCCTGGGCAGTCGGGAGAGGAGCGAGCAAGCACTGCTGCCTGTGACCCAGGCGTCCGGCTGCTGCTCCTGTGCCTGGGGAGCTTATCCACACAGAGGTCTCCTTCCCTCCCTTCCCTTCCCTCCCAGGTCTTCCTCTGCAGAGCCCAGTGGAGCCAGGTGAGTACCCTTCCTCCCCAGAGCATCCTGCTGTCTATCTGGAGAGGAAATCGAGTGGCCAGGGTCTTGGAGCTGGGGCAGCAGGGTGCTGCCAGTGCCTAGGGTGCCCTTCTGGAATGCCAGGCCTGATGACCTTGTCCCCTTCCCCCCAGGCCCTTGGCAAAGGGGTTAACAGCTGGATCAAGTCTCTGGGGCACCACAGTTAGTCACCCCGTGACCATGCTGCTGCAGCCAGCAATGCCAACAGGGACAGCAGGTTAGGGAAAAGCTTTCCCTCTGGCATTCAAGTGGCTTTTCTGGATGGGTATGGGTAAGGGGTATCAGTGCGTACAACGCGTGTGCATGTTTGCAAGGAGTCTGAGGTTTGCATGCAGAGACAGGTCTGCCTGCGTGCAGTTTGCTCATGTGTGTGATTTGACTGGTGTGTGGCATGTCTAGGAACATATGTTTCTGGTACACGTGAGGAACATATGTGTGGGGGAGGAGTTATCTGAGTAGCCTGTGGGTATATGTGCGTGGGGGCACTGTGAGGCAGTATATTTATGGGATGGACATATCACTTGTCGTGTGTGGGAGTGTATGCAACCAGAGGGTTTCTATGTGGGGAGGCACAACCCCAGAACAGAAGGGGCTGGGTACGTGGAAAGAGTGGGCAGGAGCCATTGTCTGTGGGCAGACCTGTGTAGGTGCACAAACCTGTTGGCATGTGATGGGCTCAGGTTGGCAGCCTGTGACCAGAGGCAAACACATTTTCAAAGTCTATGTCTTTGAGCCTGGAGAAGACTTGAGAGAGAATACAAGAATATGGGCAGGGGTTGAAGTGTGTCCGAATGGACATGTGTGTGCACAAACAGGCATATCGGTTGGGTGCCTTCTTGTGAAGGTGGCATGCGTGCATGTTGGTGCCTACTGCTTTCTCTTTTACCCCACTATGGCTTGTGCAAAAGTGTGTGTGCAAGTGTGCGTGCGTGCGCCTGTGGACATGAATGCATGTGGGTCCGTATGGTTGTGGCAGCTTGTGGGAGGAAAGCGGTAGGGTACTGTGAGAAGGTGGAAGGTGGAGGAAGATATCTGAGTGTGTAGATGAGTGTGTGGGAGTGAAGGTGCAGGAGGAGGTGTGTGTAGCCTGTGTGTGGCGTGACGTGGGTGGGCATACTTGTGTGCATGTGTGTATGTGTGGAGGACATATGTGCATGACTGCCTATGAGTGGGTGTATAAATGCTTGTCTCTGGGTGGATTCACATGGGAGTGTAGGTATTTTTAGGGTGTTGCCTCAACTTGTCCCTCACACCCCGCCCGTCCCCAATCATCTGGGCGTAGAGAACCTGGGGTTCACGCCCACCCTTGGTCCATTGAAACCCTGGCTTTACTGTTCTCCTAGTATCACTCACTGCCACTCTCCCTTCTGAAATGCCAGGCCTGATGATCTTGTCCCTTTCCCCTCCTCTAGGGTTGGGGAGTAATCTCAGCTCTCCTAGAACTGTGAGAGGAAGGGACGTGCAGACATCCAGGTCCTGGAGACCCCAACCACCAAACACAGCTGTCCCTGTCTCTGAGAGGGCTCTGAGGAGAGTAGGTACTGAACCAGGAATGGGTGCCCACTCATGGGGCAGGCATACCCTGCAACCTACGGGGGTGGGTGGGGGCTGCTCAGGCACTCTCTGTGGTGGAAGCGTGTCTGTGTTCATGTGCGTGGGTGCATGTGTATGTGTGTATGTGCAGGCGGGCACGTTTCTCCCTGGGAAGCTTCTCACTGGGAGCCCAGGGAGATGGTAACTCCCTACTGCTCCTCACCTGTCCCCATGGATTAAAACTGGTTTATTACTGTGAGATTGTTTCCAGACACCCAATCCAGTTCTGTTTTATTTTGGGTTGGACCTGGGTAGCAGCCTCATGCTTATTTACTTTAGGATTTCTTGTATGCAAAGCCACTGGCATTTGGCTGAACTTCATAAAAGGTAAGCACGAGCTTTAGGGTGGAAAGCTAGATGAAACAAGGACTCAGGTTATACTCTGGGGCAGGTAAGAGCCATCACCCACATTCCTCACCCTGTGCCCACCACCCAGGCGGCCCACAGATTAATTTAGAGGTGCCAGGCTCTGGAGCAGACTTAACTGACAGGAAGTGTGGGCAGGAAATTCTGGAAGCTATAAATAAAACTACCTGCTTTCGCAGGCACAAGGTACCCTCACCCCTAGTTCCTGACCAAGGAGAGGAGAGGAAGAGGGAAGAGCAGAGAAGGGAAGATGACACTCCAGAAAACTGAGGTGTGCCAGGAGCTGGGCTTGAGCAAGGAACCGGGGAAAGCATGTGACCCACTGAGTACTAAGCAAATGCCCTGGGAGAAAGTCCAACTCACGTTTGTGTTCCTGTGCCAGAGAAGCCTCTGCCCCATGCCCCAGAGCTCAGGCAAGCCAGCCAAAGTCAAGGCCAGAATCAGCTCTTCTAGTTAAAACACCAGTGATGGTGATGGTGTGGTCCTTTTATACCTGAACAGCAGCAAGAGTAACATGAGAACTGAAGGAGTGAGAGAGGGAGGTGAGAGAAAACGTAATTGCTCGAAAGGGAGGAGGAAGGAGGAAAAATAAATAGTGGAAACACCATGTGGGCCTATGTTTGCACACACACCACACGTGTGACACACACACACACACACACCACACGAGGGGACACAACCTTAGCTTAATGATAAAGAGCTTGGGCTCCAGCATTAGACAGACCTGAGTTCAAATCATTTACTAGCTGCGTTACCTTGGTTATGTTAGTATTACCCAACCTCAGTTACCTCATCTGGAAAATGGGGATAATATCTACCTATTGTGAGGTTGCATGAGGTAGCGTTTGTGAAATTATTAGCACAACTGATGTTAATGTGAAAACGAATTACTTAAAAGTCAAGCAAGCGTGGATCAGCTGAAAGACAGCAACTGATAGTCATAAAACTTATGAGTGGAATAAGAGCTTGAAGCAGGCTGTGGCACATGCTACCCCCCTCCTCCCATGAGCATATTCACATGTACCTACATGGCCCTATGCTGTGGTGACTCTTAGAGCTTCCTGTCTGTGGAGTTTGAAGCCCCAGAGAAGAGAGAGACCCGTGCCCAAGAGCCCAGGCACCCTTGGCTTCTTGGCTGCCTCGCTCCTCGCACCTCAGCTCCTCAGCAGGTGTTTTCCTGTCTCTCCTACTCGCCTTACCCATTCTCTCCACCCCCGCCCTTTTTCCACCCCATCCCTTTCTCTTTTCACGCCTGCTGGCTGAAGGCCCCCTCCCTCCTCGGCTCCATCTGCTGCAAATCTGTCCCGCCCTGCGTTTACAGCATTCCCACTGCCTCTGCCACCTGTCAGGTGCCGTCTGCTCTGTAGACCCCTCTAAGGAGAGCCAAGAGCCCCTGAGGGGGACACCCCATTCCATCTCTGGTCCCTCGTCTCCAATCTTCCCTGTGCAATCTTTTCCATCAGATTATAGGTGCAAACGCGGGGTTCTCAAGGTTCTACCTCGAAAGGAATGTTGGGATCAAGACATTCCAGAAAACTACATGGTGGGATGGAGGTGCTGATCCCTCCCCTCCCCCTCAGTCCCCACAGGAGCCAAACCAGAGGGGAACATGGAGCTGCTGTCCACCCCCCACAGCATTGAAATCAACAACATCACTTGTGACTCCTTCCGCATCTCCTGGGCTATGGAGAACAGTGACCTGGAGAGGGTCACCCATTACTTCATTGACCTCAACAAGAAGGAGAATAAGAACTCCAACAAGTTCAAGCATCGGGTAAGTAGCCAGGGTGCCCAGAGGTGCCCCTTCCCAACACCTGTTCTGAAGCAGGCAGGATAATGGAACGCCTGGAGGGAATACTTTGGAGCCAGATAGACCTGGTTAAGATCCAGACTTTTTACTGTGTAACCTTGAGAAAGTTATTTAGCCTCTCTGAGCCCGAGTTTCTTCACTGGTGAAAAGGGAAAAATGCCAGCCCTCACAAGGTTGTTGAGAGGATTCAATGAGATAACGTGTGTGTGGTGTTTGGCACAGTGCCTAGCACATAGTGAGCACTATTATCACATTATTACTGGGTTTTCAGACACAGACAGAGAACTGTGCTGGGGTGGGGCCAGGGACTCCGCATCACACACAGGGATGGCGTCTCAAGTTCTGACGAAGCTCCAGGCTCAGGGAACAGCCTTGCTGGTAACTGGGAGGGTAGCATGAGCAGTGGGAAGGGGGTGGTACTCAATGGCTCCCCCTCGGGCACCCTGTGAGTCTCTCTGGCCCCCACTCTCTGGCCTATTATGTTCTTGGTTTAGAGAGGAAATGTTTGAGAGTTCGCTGCTGGTGCTTTAACTTATGAGTCTTTTCCCTGGGTTAAAACCTCTGTGGGGGCGAGTAGGAGGAAGCCTCCCATCTTCTCAAGCTGGCAGAGAGGAAGGGGGAAGAGTGAGGTGGGAAGAAGCTGGTTCCCACGACGACAGCTTCAGTGTGGGTTACTCACCCTCTCTTTCTGGAACTGGTTCTCCTGATCTGGGTGTCTTTTGGCAGGCCAGTTGCCACGGTGATGTGAATGTTCAGCACCACCCCCTTAAGCCTCCCCCCCAAAGAATAAGGCATATTTTCCTTTCTTCCCTGGCTTTTCAGCATTTGCCGTTGCCGTGGAGACAGCACTGCAGTGTGCAGAGCTCTCTAAGTCTCCCTCAAAAGTGAAGGTCTTGCTGCCCTCAACTTTCTGGGCCTCCTCCCTAGTAGCCTTTTACCTCAGTTCCCAAGAGAATGGGGCATCAGGGGCTTTTAAGAAGGGGCACAGGCTAGGGAGTATCTGTATCCTTCTGGGAGTATCCCAATGGCCACTGTTTGCTTATCCAAGAAAATGGTGGCCAGAGCATGGAGCCATCAAATCTCTGGAACTCTGGCCTTCTCAGGGTGAATGGGAACCATGTGGGGAGTGAGAAATTTGGAGGAAGGCCAACATTGGGCATGACCCCCCAGTTTGACTTTTGGCTGCCTATACCCTATTTCTCAGGATGTCCCCACTAAGCTCGTGGCCAAGGCTGTGCCACTACCCATGACAGTGAGAGGCCACTGGTTCCTGAGCCCCCGCACGGAATACAGCGTGGCTGTACAGACAGCCGTGAAGCAGAGCGACGGGGAGTACCTGGTGTCTGGCTGGAGTGAGACAGTTGAGTTCTGCACTGGAGGTAAGGCCCAGCTCTCAGATCACTGTCCTGCTGCTAGGGCCCGTCTAGCTTGTTTATGGTCAAGAGGGGGCTTCATTGTCATCCAACAGACATTTATGAGCACCTGCTGTACAGCAGGCACTATGCTTAGGTTATAGGGGAACTAGACATGGATAAGACCCTCCTGTCCTCAAGAAGCCTGCAGTCTAGTGTAGGAGGCAGATGTGAACATTACTAATTCTGTTGGCAATAACACTTTCATAAAGAGATGGAGTTACTTTTCCGGCTTGGGGTACCCTGTATTGTTTGTCTTGAGCTCCTACTTCGTCGGGGAAAATGGCCTCTATTCAATGGCCCTGCAAACTCTCTTAGCAGAACTTAATTGGCAAATTCCAGCATGAACAAGCACTGGGCTTATCTGTCATTGATGACCCTGGATCTGTCCCACAATATTCCATTCTTTTGGTGTCCATGGTGAGAGCTGCTCCAGATCTCCCTCTGTCACGAGAAAGGGGCAGGGAATATTCTCAGCCCCAGGCCTCCAAGGCTGCTGGCTCCATCCTCTGCCAATGCCCATGCCCCGAGTCTCCTTGAACTACCAGTGTGTTTTGAGTGGCGCTTTTTCTTGGCTATGCTGCAAAACCCTACCCCCTGGAAGCACTCTCACTCCTTGCAGGGAAAGCCCTAAAACATGTAGTGAGAGTTGAATTCAAACTGGGGGAACTGGGGATGGCTGCAATCCAGTCTACACTCCTCTTGCCAAATGGGCCAGGGCTGCATCAGCAAGGAGGAAAGGGCACCTTTTCTAATTTGTACAAAGGTGCTGTGTAGGTTAGCAGCAGCTGTGCCTGGACCCCATGACCCCAGCCTCTGGCCCTGTCTCGAGGGTTTCAATTTTACTATCTTGTTTCCAGGCTTCCCTGCTTCTCCTGGGATGCTCTAGCAGACAGTCATTGCCCCAGGCTCTGGTCTGCCTAAACCTTCACCTCTGTAAGGCCTAGGCTTCGTTCCCTCTAGCCTCCTCATGAGCCCCCGCCTGTAATTACAACCAGCTTTCACATAGGTGGTGTGGGCAGCCTCCTACCTGTGGGATTTGAGGGGCTCTGCCCTCTCAAGTCCTTCTTTTGCCTGGTGGTCCCCTTTTTACATGAGGATGGCCTGGGATTAGCATCTGTGAGGCCCTGGAATGATTGTACAACTGGGCAGTCCCTGCCCTTTTCTGATCTGAAGAGCCCTGAGCTCTGGCAATGAGGGCACAAGGGTGACAAAGACAGATGGCATCCAACTGTCAAAGTTCCCAGGCGAGGCACCTGAGCCCAAGGTGCTGTGGTTGTTTGGTGTCTCCTGCTGCTCTGGAGTAGAGGGATTGACTGGCATTCACCGTGTGGGTTGGGCAAGTGGAGTGAAGAGGTTGTGATGCCCCAACTGACTGACATGGCTGCCCCCAACATGGACTCTTGCAGATTATGCCAAGGAGCACCTGGCTCAGCTTCAGGAGAAGGCTGAGCAGATCGCAGGCCGCATGCTTCGCTTCTCCGTCTTCTACCGCAACCATCACAAGGAGTACTTCCAGCACGCCAGGTACGGCCTGGTGCAGGCTCCCCAGCAGGGCCTGCTTGGCCTCTCATTCCTTCCTGAGGCCTTCCTTCTCTTGCCCTAGCTCACTCTGAGGCCACCCCCACCCTGTTGATTGCCAGGCCCTCCTCTGGAGTCCCCATGCCCTCATGTTACCAGACGGGCTCTGGAGGGTTGGCTACTTGGGATTGGGCACCAAGGAAGGTAGAGGGCTAGTGGGGTGGAGGCAGCCTGGCAGAGCACCGTGCTAACAGGCCAGTGTTAACAGGGTCCTAGGTTTGATCCTCGCTGGGATAGTTCCTTTTACTGGGTTCTACCACCATAGACCTTAGCCAGGTCAGCTGTCTCTCAAATTCAGAGTCCAAATGGGAGGTGGGTGAGGGGAGCACACTACGAGAAGATCCTGAGCATGAAGGGTGCTAGGGAATATACAGCTCAGGGGCTTTCAAACTATGTGCTGAAGAGCCTGGACACTCCAGGGAGGTCTCTCAGGGAACACCTTAGGGTGCTAGTGAGGGGGCTGGAGAGGCAATCAGAGGATGGGGCTTTGTGGGCCCAACCTATATAATCCAACAAGAGCAACTTCAATTTTATTTGCCTATTGCCTGCCTGTGTATAATTTCCTTTGGGAAGAAAAAAGAAGGGGTTCTGCAGTCCAAAAATGTTTGAAAATTGATCATCAGTCCAACCCTCTAGCATACAGATGAAGAAACTGAGACCCAGAGGGGAAGTGAGTTCGTCTGTCAAGCCAGCAAGTCTTTAGGGCAGCCAGGATCAGGCAACAGTGAGGCGGGATCAGGGATGGTCCACCCCTACCCATGCCTGCTGAGACCACTAAGTTCATGTCCTTTATCACCACATTCAAATGGGGCAGAGCCTGAGGCGGGCGGGGGCGGGGGGCAGGGGGAGGTTGGAGGAAAGAGGCTTAGTGTTTGTATTAAAGAAGAGAGGCAGTAAGGTAAGTGGTGAGGGCACTTGCTAACAGAGAGAAAGAGAGAGACAGAGCACCCGTACGTGCCAGGCACTTCACTAGGTTCTAGGATATAAGGATAAATAAAGCCATAGTCGCACTCTTGAGAACCTCAGAGTCTAGTCAGGGAGTCAGAAAGCTTTAACATAATAAATATGTGTGATCATTGAGTAACATTCACAGTATCCAGCACATAGTAGCAGGCAGCCAAATATTTGTTGAATGTAAATGTGAGATGTTCCACGAAGTTGTTAAAGAGGACGCCTGTGCTAGGCCTTGAAGGATGATTAGGAGTTTGCGAGGCCAGGTGGAGAAAGGTGGGAAGAGCAATCCACACAGAGGGAAGAGCACTGCAAAGGCACAGAGGCAGGAAAGAGCTGGGCATGGAGTTCATGGGTGGCATGAGGATGCTACCTGTGGGTGTGTGTGTGTGGGGGGGTGGAAGGTAGGAAGTGGCGCGAGGCCAGAAAGACCAGATCACGAGGGCTTTGTTTTTCATGCAGACAGTGACCCTGTCAAAGGATTTTAAGCTGGGGAGTGACAGGTTTACATCTCTCCTCTGTGAAGGAGTGGGCTGGATGAGCTGATCTCTGAGGGCCCTCCCTACTAGTGTTCTGGAATGCTATATTTGTGAATGGTGGAGGCGGTGGGGCTGGTGGGAGAGTTAGCAGCAGGGCTCCCTCCCTTCTCCACCATGCACTGCAGCCCCAGCTCAGCCTCACTGACCAGGGACATTTTCTCTTCCCTGCTGCATTTCTACCGGCGCAGGACCCACTGCGGGAACATGCTGCAGCCCTACCTGAAGGACAACAGTGGCAGCCACGGCTCTCCCACCAGCGGCATGCTGCACGGAGTCTTCTTCAGCTGCAACACGGAGTTCAACACGGGCCAGCCTCCCCAGGACTCCCCCTATGGCCGCTGGCGCTTCCAGATTCCAGCCCAGCGCCTTTTCAACCCGAGCACCAACCTCTACTTTGCAGACTTCTACTGTATGTATACGGCCTACCACTACGCCATCCTGGTGCTGGCGCCCAAGGGCTCCCTGGGGGACCGCTTCTGCCGCGACCGCCTGCCCCTCCTGGACATTGCCTGCAACAAGTTCCTGACCTGCAGCGTAGAGGATGGAGAGCTGGTCTTCCGCCATGCCCAGGACCTCATCCTGGAGATCATCTACACCGAGCCTGTCGACCTGTCCCTGGGCACCCTGGGCGAGATCAGCGGGCACCAGCTCATGAGCCTGTCCACTGCTGACGCCAAGAAAGACCCCAGCTGCAAGACCTGCAACATCAGTGTGGGCCGCTAGGGGCTCCTGGGGAGCTGGGGGACTAGGGAGAGGGGACGAGAAGGGTGGAGATGGGCTGGCGTAGGTTCAGGGAGTTGGTCTTCTCTCCCTCTGCCCGTTGCACCCTGCACTCTACCAGTCTACTTCCTTCCCCTACCCCTTGGCACTGGAGGCAGTAGAGGGTGGTGCTCTTGGTAAGCGTGGCCCACCTCGTGCCTGATTGGCTTGGGAAGGCTTCTTAGCCTCAGTAGGTCAGCGGATGGGTTGGATTTCTGGAGACTTCCCCTTTCCTCTGGTTTCCCTGTCCTGGTCTTCCTTGCCTCATCCCAGCCCTCCATCTCGGAGACCTGCCGGCATTCTGAGCTCTCCCAAGGAGGCCTCTCTGGGCCAAAGCCCGTGTGTAGCTTGCCTGCCTTCAGAGGAGATGCAGAGAGATGTGGGGCGTACTTTTCCTTAGCCCCACCCACCCCACTCAGGGCCAACCACAGAATGCCCCTCCCCTCTGAGCTGGGGTCTCCGGTGCCTCCCACGCCGGCCTGGGCTCCCTCCCCGTATAAATAGCCTCTGTGCCCCCGCTGTGCCCCCTGGCTGCTCCTTGCCCCATAGAACCTTCTTCCTGCATGGGGAGAGCTGTCCCTCCCTTTCCCCACCTGACCCCTCTGGACCCTCCTCCTGCTCTCTAGAAAGGGACCTTTTTTTCTCTTGCCTTTGAAGGCTCTGGGCTGTTGAGATTTTTCCTTTCTTCTTTCTGGAGATGATATACCTAGCATTTCTAATCCCTTGCCCAGAACTCTGGGGTCTGGAATGACAGCCATGGGTGTCGAGGAGGGGGAAAGAGACCCCTGAGGCCCAGAGGTACCAGGAGTGGGCTGCCTTATGCCCTGATGGGGCCTGGCGTGGAACCAGACAGCTGAGGGCTTCGCTGCAGAGCCCTGGCACCCACCCGGTTGTGCTGCTTTGCTCGCTCGCGCTCTGCCGCGGTGCCGTGACTGTATTGTGCCTGTGTGTGAACCGGACTGTGGATTCTCTGCTACTTCACCTCCTGCTCGTGCCCACTGACACTGTTAGCTCACGTGGTGGGCCTCTTGGATGAGAGGCCCTTCCCTGGGAGTTCTTGGTGAAGTCTTTCCTTGGCCTCCCGGCATTCTCATGATTTCCTACTTTTGTATGGGTCAGGAAGGTGGTGAGGGTGGACTCCCTGAGCCAAGCAAACCAGGTGGAGTGAAGGGAGAGGTGCAGACGGAGGCAGCTAGCTGTTTGAGGGATGATGGAGGTGATGTCAGACAGGAGGCAGCAGCCCCCCGGAGTGACTGGCTCGGAGGCGACAGAGACCATGCACAAGCAGCCAGACTTCTGTGATGAAGGACTGATGGGGCCAGCAGGCCAACAAGGGCATAACCTCAGAGAGGGGGACAGGACAGCTGGTAGCCTCTCCTGTAGCCAGTGGGGAGTGGTCAGCTGCCTATTTGGGATGGGTCAGAAGGCCTGGGGGCTCTGGGAGATGCATGGAGAAGGAGAGGACATGGGCCCCAGGCCCTTTCCCCCTCTGCTTACAGCATTGCTGTGGGGGTGGCCTGCCACCCTCCCCAGCCCTGTGTCTGCCCTGTGCTGGGGGCGCACCTGCCTGTGCTGTGCTTTCGATGTGCATCAATAAACCACCATGGCCTGAGGGCCCTGCCTCTTTTTGGGCCCTGGGAGGGGTGAGATGGGTAAGTTGCAAAATCCACAGAGGAGCTCAAATTGGGATGCCCCCCAGGACACTCTACCTGGAATCTTCTCCAAGGGTGCATTAAATCCCACTGTGGGAGGCAGGGCTAGAAGGCAGAGCCAGTGTCTCCAACTTGAAAGGGACTTTGAAGGTTATTTTGTCCCTTTCCAGATGGGAAAACTGAGGTCTCCCAGGTGGATGCCATAAGGAAGGCCCAACCAAGTTCCCCAAACCCCCCATTTGGAACCCTTCCCCTGCAGCAGTTTGCCATTGTTTCAGACCCAGATGCCACTGAATTTCCCTCCCCCCAGAACTCAAATGTCTCCTCTCCCAGCAGGGCTCCTCATTTGCAGCTCTGAGTCACCTCTGCATCTATTATTATGAGCTTATTAAAATGATTCTCTGCCTGAGTGGAGAAGCTCCAGAAAAATCAGAGGTACCTCGCTGACACTGGGTGCCTGACTCAGGGACAAGTTACCATGTACCATCTAGAACTTGGGCACACCCTCTTTGGGCTAGGAAGGAAAAGCTGAAGGGCAAACTACCATTTCTTGAGAACCTACTATGTGCCAGGCATTCTGCCGGGTGCTTCCACACATTATCTCATTTAATCTTCACAACGGCCCTACGCAGTAGTATTACTGTTTCACATGTGAAGAAACTGAGTCACAACAAAGTTAAACGACTTGCCACATGTCTTATAGCCAATAGACGACAGTGCCCAGGAATCATCCCATGTCATTGCCCTGTCTTCCCCAATGTATGCTGGGGACCACCTGGGGCAGGAAGGCATGCGAGGGCCTGTCTCAGACACAGTGGCTTGACAACTCCACCCTCCTGTCCTTGCCACCGACCCAAGGGATCCCCACAGCCCTACCCGTTCTCTGAGGCCATGCCTAGTTCCAGAGTAACACCAGGGGGGGCTGTGGAGTCACAAATGCCATGAAGGTTTATTTTAAAGGCATAGTGGGCAGTACACTTGGAGCCCAGAATGCCAAAGATGTTAAAGGCATAGTGGGCAGTACACTTGGAGCCCAGAATGCCAAAGATGTTAAAGGCATAGTGGGCAGTACACTTGGAGCCCAGAATGCCAAAGATGTTAAAGGCATAGTGGGCAGTACACTTGGAGCCCAGAATGCCAAAGATGGAAAGTGACCTCCATGGTCCATCATCCTGCTTCTGCACAGGATTTCCCCCCAGCTGAGAAGTTTTCAGAGTCTTCCAGAAGAGGAAGCTTCAGTCTCCCTTTTTTGAACCCTTCCTTGTGAATTTGTTAGGAGGCTCTCAGAGTCCTCTTAGTAGGGGACGAAAGCAGCGAATGGAGATGTGGGGCTCCATGCAGGTTTCCTCCCGAGAGCCTGCTTCTCTTTTTTCTCTCCAGGTGGCCAGCCCTGGGCTGCTTGAGGAGCCCTTCAGATGGGGCTGGGTCAAGGTACCCACCAGACTCTGCCCGGGAGTCCCTTATGGCTTGCATCCCTCTAATCTAACCCAGGGGAAGGAGAGAGGGCTGCATGTGCATGCAAACACACACACACACACACACACACACACAC